TGAAATAAGCAAATGCATGAAGAACATCTGATAACCGTGCAACATCACGTTGTAGGTGATTGAGTATCGCCATAAATGGAAACAAATGTGATTCTAGTTCTTCAATCGTTTGCCACCATTCGTTATCCTCCAAGTGTGTTATAATACATATGGGTAATTCTTGATATCGCAAAGCAAGTGCCTATTTTTTTATCCATTAATATATTTTCCCATCAATATCATTATAGTGAAAAGTGGAAGCATACCTTTAAAGCTCTCTTACTACGTACTAATGATGCAAAGCAGAAATAGTAACTATTCCACCGGGTTTGAGTCGGTCTTATTAAAGCATAATATTTTCCGTATAGTTCTTTTTGCTCATCATGCAACTTTTTAATCCAAGATGAGTTCCTGTTGTCTGTAAAATAAGTAACAATAGTAATTGCTTTTGAGGATGCAGTTTTATACAAAGGGGATGACTTAAAAATATCAGCGACACACAAGTTTGCTTGGTGTGCAAAGCAAGGTAGAAAAACAATGTCTTTGTACTCTAACCGCATTTTCCGCCTAATAAAAAACAAAGCAATAAATTACTATCTAAATTTATAATTTTCTCAGTATGCTAACTAACCTTGCTGATGCATATGCCGATGCACTATCTGTTACTACTGCAATAATTTTAATATCGTCTCTCTCTGCACGTGCAAAGAAACTCTTAATTTTTTTCACCACATCAATTATGCGAGCACCATCTCCAGAAATATCTTCAGCTCCCCATATAAGCACCTTCCCTTTACTTGTAATAAGAATACTCCCTAAGATTTCTTGATGATTAATATTTTTCCAGCCATCAAATGCCAGAGTATTACCAACTTCTTCTTTTTTGGCATCGATGGCTTGTTTACGTTGCAACTCCTCACTGTGTAATAAGAGAATACGACTAGCAAGAGCATGACGTCCAGGTAAGGAAATATTTGAATTAAGAAATCTGAAAAGGGCAGAGACCTCAGGATTGTCTATCCAATTAAATGCCCAGCCATTACTTATTGTAACTTTTAATAAATGATATTCAAATATGCAATATTCAGCTGAATTTAGATCACGAATGAGATAATTCTCAATAGAATTTTTTGATGGCCGACTTCGTAAATGACGTATAGGAGAAGTAGATTTATGCGATGTTGTGATTTTTTCCAATGAACTTGAATGAAAACTACTTGAAGTAGTAATTGATGATATATCTGTTTGCTGGTTTTCTTCATCAGATGCATATAGAATTTCTGCTCTTTCTTCTTCAGTATACAACTCAGCAAACTGTATACACTTTTTTAAATGTGCTTTTATACAAATTTTTGTATTAGTAAACACTGATTTATCCAATGCCAATTCTCTTCCCAATTTCTTGATACATGCCTTACATACAGCAGCTTTATTAGACTTGTTCACTTGTATTGATAAGACCTCAATATAGGGAGTAAGTCTATGAGGTGGTTTTCCACCTGTATATCGTTTCATAGTAATGTCGTTGTAATTGTATAAAAAAAAGAAGATTATTATATGAAAAACTAGATTAGATAAAAAATATATTTTTTATTGGCTATTAATGTTGATCATTCTAAAAAAGTCAATACCGATTATAACATGCTGTGCCACAATGGAGCCAATGGAATCAATGGAATACAGATTCCATTGCTCTATTCCATTAAGCACTAAATGGAGCAAATATTTACCAACATTGAGTATGATAAATCCATAAATATAATTTTGAAAATTTTAATTCTAATACTGAAAAATATTAAAATATTTTTCTATCCAAACAATTATTGATTTCTATACTATTTTAATTATTTTTAAATTAATTAGTAATTTTTCAAAGATTTTTAAAATTAAATAAAGATTATATATAAATTTTATCTTAAACTTTATTAAATTACTTTCAGCAAATTTTTTATATTTGCTTATTATATATGTATTATTTCATTCTTTATAAAGAATCATTAATTCACTATTTTTTATAAAATAATTTGAATTTTTTTTTGTAAATAAACATTATCACTTTATTGATTGTAAAATTGTTTGAAATTTATATATGGATAAAGTAACAATATCTTTTATATATTGTAACTAGATAAGTTAATAAGTCTAATACTAGCTTGCCTATATAAACAAATTGTCTTAGTAGTAAGGAAAATAAATATTAAAACTATTACACATCTGAGATAGTGCTGAGTAGCTATGAATATCTACTCAAGATTGTTGATAAGATTATTAAAATTGGTTATTAAATTTTTGTAACATAGAGTAAAATTGTAATTGCTATTAATAAATTCATTTGTAACTAGCAATAGGAGAATAATTTAAATTTTTTATATTATTTTTATAAATATTATTTATAATAAAAACTATAACTTTTATTAAATCTTTGTATTCTTTTGCTTAAATTTAATTTCTAAGAAATTTCAAGTCTTTAATTTATTTTATCAATTAATATACAATGTAAAGTTTTTAAATATTCTTGTGTAAATTCAATTTAATATAAAAAAGTTTCAAATCAAGATAATATATTTTATCAAATATCATTGCTTTATAAATATTTATATGTTTATAGAATTAATTAATTTTTTTCAACTAGCAAGGCCTTGTCCAACATACTTTATTTAGTTTATATACAGTATGTACTTCTTGTTACAAGACTTACTATCTATAAACTATTCTAGATGCATGTTTTGCTATATCGATTTGACTCCATATCAGCTTATTGCTATTGACTTATCTTCTGGCATGTGTTAAGACTAATGTGCCAAGGCTTGTTATTATATAAAAAGTAATAGAAATTGAAATTAATTATGTTTTTTCCCTGATCTAACCAGTTCTCTATAAGTTTTTCTTGTAATCTTCTTGCTTCTTTTGTTCTTTTGAATATTAACTTGGAGTCTTCATTTTCCCCCCTTTTTCCCTTCTGCTTATGTTTTCTTTTCTTTTTCATTGCTGAAAATCTTTGTATCTGTGAGTCCAGAGTTTTTGAGTTTCTCTATCATTCGTTTGTGACTGTTCTTAATGTGTCTTTGATTTTTTTCCTGTTAATTTGTTCCATCAGCTCAGTTAGGTCTTTTTTGTAGATTCCTTTGATTATATACCTGATAGTTCTTTTTGAGTCGTTGATAATGGATTCAAGTTGTTTTCTCCAATTCATTCTTCTTTCTTGTGTTTCTATCCTGCTTGCTATTTCTTCTTTTAGTATTTGCAGGTATGTAGTTCTGATCTTATCCCTGTAGTGTTTGCTGAATACATGTTATATGGTTTCCTATTTGTTGCACCAAGAGCATATTTTGTTCTTGTATATGTCTGACCTTCTCTCATTTAGCTTGTCTTTGATGAAAACCTCTTCATTGAGCAGTTTGTATCTGAACCCTCTGTTGTGATCTTGTTAATTGGTATGGAAGCTTGTAATCTTTAATGGTGACAGGCTTGCCCATGTTCTTTTCCAGTCTATTATTTTCTCATCACTTGTACTTAGCCATGCTTTGTGTCTTTTTTGTGTCACCCATGTACTGGCCCATTTGCTGTTTTGCCATTGCTTCATGAATCCATTGGTTCCTATGTCAAGGTCTTTACCATTTCATTGCAGTATTCCTACCATCTCTTTTATGTATTGACAGTTTGTACCTATGATTTGTGTATAGTCTAGCTCATTGCCTTCTTTTGCTAGCTGGTCTGTGCGATCATTCTATTTTTCCCCTGTATGTGCTTTGATCTTTTTCAGTATAGTTGTTGCTATTCTGTTTTTGATCCTTTTATGGATGAGAGTTGTTGTGAATATGTTTGTTCCTTTTGCTACACTTTGTTTCACTGTAGTAACTGATTGTATCACCTGAATCACACATTGGCCGTCTGTAAATATGGTTGCTTCTGTTTTTGAATTGAGAAGTGTTATTGCTATGAGTATTGCCATTAACTCTACTCTTGTGGATAATAGGAATCCTTCACATCTGCCTTTAAATTCTATTTCTTTGAGTGTTTTTTTGTTGATGATTATATCTTCTACCTCCATTCTCTCCTGATTGTTGTTGTACTTTTCCATAGATTTATCTATATATACTTCTGTGAGTTTCCAATATAGTATATGTTTCTGGATATGTTCAAGTTCTTGTCTACAGTTTTGGTGTCTTTATATTTGATGTGTTTGTTGTTGGTTTGTTGCTGCTGTTGTTGATTTCTATATGGATCATATTCTTCTCCTTCGGTGTTGAATTGCTCCACTTGTGCATCTCTCTGATTGAGTTTGATGAGATTTGTATTTGTGGAAGATTTTCTATTATCTGGTTGAAGGGTTTTGAAATAGTTTTTGTTATTTTGACTAGAAGTGAATTGCCTCTTTTAGTTGTATTCTTCTGGTGCATGTGTTTGTTTTCCATATTGCATCCTTTGCATTTTTAATTAATGAGTTGTCTTCTATTTGTGTGAAGTGCTGTGCTTTGAATGAGTTTTCCAGGACTTTAGCCTGTTTGTTTACCTTTCCTATATATAGTATATACTTTAATTAATGATTGCAGAGACATATCTGTATTTTCAAATGTTTTCTTGATTTGCCAGGTCACAAGTGGTGAATGTGTTTATTGTTTTCCTGGAAGGAGAGATGTTATTGTACTCTTGTTGTTGTATAATCTCCTCAAACCAGTTGGGTTTACATCCTATATACTTTGCTCCTGTCCTGATTTTAAAGTGTGTCCATGTAATACAATATGAGTTGGTAATGTTCATCATTTGTTCCATGTAAAAGAGATTGTGTATATGTTCTTCGATTGATGTTCAGTTGTTCCGAAATAGTGGTGATGTCAATTTGTATGTTGCTATTAACCTTATCTGGAGGTTGTTTAGTTTTAGTATATTTAGAATCTGTGCTGTCAGGTTTATGCCCAGTTCTATAGATGCTGTAACCTTGTTTTTGTGATTTGTTCTGTGATATTCATCTCATTAAGATATTGGAGCCATCTTGTAGTTATTAATTTAACTTGTCTGTCATATATGTTAAAGATTTTATATCTTGTGTAGAGATGTATTTCACTATTGATTGCTATTGTTGTAAGAGCTAGTTTATGCTTGAAAAGTGCTATAATCTTGCTATTGATTGTATTGCATTCTTGTTAGAAAAGAATTGTGTCCTGAATTAGATATTCTAGTGCTGGGGTAAGCACTTGGTTGATAATATATCTGCATTGTTTATCTTGATTTTTTTAGATTGTAGTCATCTCATCATAAAGGTTGTTTTGTCTTTTATTAGTTGTTTTTGATGTCTTTTGGATCCTGAGCTTGTTATCAATGTGCCCAAGATTCTGATTGCTGTTTCTTTGCTCTGTGCAGAGATAGGCTTTGCTTGGAATTGGATGGTGGATTGTTGAGTGTTGTTGATAGTTAGCAGTGTTGATTTATTGGTGTTGATCCTTAAGCCTGCAATGTTTGCGTAGCTGTCTACCAAGTCTGTGATCTTCGGCATATTTTTCTTTGAATTGGTATACATGTTGTGTCATCCATATACAGAGAAACCTCTCAAAGTGCACCTCCCAGGGGATTGACCATAGGGTGCATTTAGGAAGGGTGTGCATTTAGAGAGGTATAATAAATTTTTATAATATTTATTATTATTTATTATTTATTTATTATTTATTTATTATACGTATTTATTATTAAACTATATCAATTCAAATATTTATTGATACTAACTTGTTGCATTGAATTAAATTTTTTTTTTGTAATAAATTTTTCAATACTATCTACAAAGTGCAATTGATTTTTTGCATCCTTCTGTTGAAGTAAAAACACACGTACACTTTTTAAATTTTCTAATGCAGTGCTAGCACTAACAACCGTTGTTTCAATGCTATCATCTATTTCGTCAGAATTTTCAATTTGTGTTTTTTTAAATGTGTCTATAAGCTCTGAAATTATTTTATCATCCTCAGAAATCTCATAAACAACATCTTTGCCAGGAATACTTAAAAATTCATCAATTTCCATTGCGTTGGGAAAATTAAGGGCATCAACTAATTTGGTAAGTACCGAATCGTCGATTTCTATTGGATTATTGATCTCTGTGGCAATATTAGAAAGGATTTTTGTATAACGCCAGCAGTTATAAATTGTTTCTGGAGTGATTTCATTCCAACTCTTAATAATGAATTGGATCACTTGTAAGATGTCCATTTTTAAATCTTGAATAAAATTTCCTTTTTCAACCTGCTCTAAAATCTACCTATAATAAATAAGCTGTGAAAAAAAAATACGACGATAAATTATAAGGGAGACCGAATGAATGAAGTAAGGAGAGGCAAGCGAATGAAGATAAACGATAGAGGTAAAGAACAGCATTTGTGAAGATATAGAGTAAATAACAAACAAAGGTAATAAAGAATGGATGAGTAATAACAGAATGGAAGAACAAATAATAAAGGTAAGAAAGAATGAATGGGAGGTGGGGAGAAATGGACAGGTATTAATAATTATTTATTATAATATAGAGAACATGTAAGAAAGAATGACCGGGGATGCAAAAAAAACGAATTATGCGGAAAGTAAGAACAAATAGAGGGTGTAAGGAAAAATGTAGAGGTGATGTGACAAAAGGGCAGAAAGGTGAATTAATAAATTTTTTATTTTATACATAAGGAAGAATGGCCAAGGAGATGAATGGCGGGCGGGAAGGTAAAAAAGA